TTTCTATTGAAATTAGGATGTTTTTTGATTTCAATAGCCTCGCGAATCATCCTTAAAAACTAGTTTTATTTTAAAAATAAATAAGTATAACTATTTTATTTACTTTAAATTCTATTCAATTTCTTCCTCGCAATTTAGTTGCAATTTAATGGGAAAATTGTGTCTTAAAGTCCTTTGCATCAGAAAAGACACATTTTTTCGGAGAACTATCATACAGTTTCCTAAATCGAAACCCAAACCAAAAATATACTTCTGACGCACTCGGACAAGAGCTCTGATCATACTTTTTTTAACTTTTAAAACTTGCTGATAATTCTTCACGTACACATCGATTGCTAAACTTACACTTAAGGTACCTACTGACGAACGAAGACTTCCAAATGGATGCACACAAATGAAAACTTATCCAGATACGGTACCATTGACGATACTTCCATTTGGACGCATAGCGTCACTTTGAACTTGGCAGTCGTACGGAATGGAAATAAATAATAATATGGATAATAACTGGTGACTGAATACACGCTGCTGCAGCGTGTATTTCATTAAAAAGACAAAAAATCTAAACGGAGCAATCCATCGTAGTCTTCAATGATAACGCATCTATATTTTGTTTCTTAATTGAGTATACGTGTAAATGTCTATGGGCCACCCACCACCAGGTGGACTGTGTGTTAGTTTGTCACTGACATTCTAGATATGGTATAGACGGTGAAGCAATATTGTTGACTGTGGTAGAAATTAAAGAAATCAACATATAGTGGATATTTTTCATTATAACTATATGTGGTAGAGCAACGTTGTTTTTTTATATATATATATATATATATATATATATATATATATATATATATATATATATATATATATTATGGCTGTAGCACAAATGTGTCGGCTCAAACGAAGAAGGACCACGATCTCACAAAATAGCAGCTTAAATCTGCTGTATTTCATATACTGAGTGTAAAGAACCACGGGTGACAATGCATTTACATTTTGATTCTTATTCAATGACAGATTGCCTATGGGCTACAGTATCAACTTAACATCATGTAGACTGTGTATCCGTGTGTCACCTATATCACAGCCCATAGTTTACATAATAAAAATATTTTTAATCCAATACACAGTTTATGTTTGACAAACAGAGCACATGTACCTCCATCAACACCAAAAAACGTTAACTGACACAATAACGTCCAACAAATGGACGCCGGTTCGCCCATTCACTGATAATTCGGACTGCTTCCATTTGGCGTGGCGCACGTTTTTTACATTGACGTACGGTCGCGAATGACGTCCGTTTGGACTGGAAGCTTGGACTTCCAAATGGATTTCAATCCATTTGGAAATCCAGAGCTGGATGAAATCATCCAAATGGAATATGTTTTTACCATTCACGGTACAATTTTGGACGATTACCACTCCATTTGGATTAATGGACGTACCGTCAGTGGGCACTATTAACTTTTTAGAGTAGCATTCACTTTTCCGCTGTTTAAATATTGTTCCAAATATATTTCAAAGGTTCATCATACACTAAAAAGCAGTAAATGCTTTTTTGGGAAGTACGTGTAGTTTTAATATATTTATTATATTCTAGCTTGAAAAAGTTAGTGTTTTTAGTGTTTTTAGTATACTACAAGTGTTTACCGCTTTTTTAGCATATTATTAGGTATAGCCTAGCATGACTGCAACTAAGTAATAAAGCATTATTTACGCTTAACTGCCTCTTAGCTTAGAAAATGTATTTAACTGCATTTTTTCTTAGTTTTACAACATCAAATATTAAATTTCAACTAAGAAAATAAATCGTTAAAATCTCTTAACGGCTATATAGCGTAACGGTGCATCGTAACTGATTTCTAGCGTATGACAGCAAAGAAAATAATGCTTAATGTATCTCAGGAACTCTCAATCGTAAAAATATAATTCCAATATTGGTTGATAGAGAATTTTTTGCTTAGTCTATTGGTGCTGAAAGCTCAAAATCGACAAAATGCACTTAGCCGCCTTTTTCCGTATCAGGGCAGCGTTATAGAGATCTTTCCAGAGACTTTATGGAGACTTTTTTGTATTAAATACAGTGTGCGTATAGACAACATTAGTTCCTCTCTTTCTTTCTATCGTCACGCAAACAAAAAGGGAGTTCCACCACCTTGCAGGATTGCAGGGTTGAAGAAAGGCTCTCGAGTGGCAGCCTCGTACCGGTAGGCTAGGTAGGTAGGATTGTAAGAATTCTTTAGTTCGCATACTTTTTGAATTACGTAAGCGGAAATGAGATACCATACCATAGAGCACCTTTTAAGCTTTTGTCACTGGCATACCTTAAAACTTATGTAAACGTCGTGTTATCTCGTTTCTAAACAACAGAGCGGTCACTCGATTCCGGCGATACTGTACCGAATGTTCAAATTGAACTTATCTATACGTACAAATAAAATTAATATTTACATGGATGCTGCAGCTGATATTTTAGCCAAACAAGCTATTTCGGAAGGCACTGACATTGATATTACCCCTTCATTTCAAAATTATATACCTTTATTGAAGAAATATTGTTTTGATCTCTGGAAGTAATATTTTTCCGAAAGAGCAAAAGAGAAGTGTATATGGTACCGTACGATCCAGCCGTACACAATGCGCTCAACCTGGTTAGATAACCAAATATTTTGTAGACGCAACACTGTAATAGCATTAAGACTCAGATCTGGACAAATTCCATGCAATAAATTTTTATACTTGATGCGAAAAACTACCTCACCAAATTGTACAACTTGCAATGTTATCGATGATGTTTATCACATTTTGATAGAATGTGCCCGGAACTCCATAGAAAGAAAAAATTGTAATTTACATTTGTAATTGGTTGGCAGTATTAATAGTATATTATCAGACCCGTTATCAGATGATGCCAGAAAACTTTATGTCTTAGCGGTCATCCGCCGAAGAGTCTGCATCACCTGAGGATGCCTCGTGTAGAAGCGAAACACGTGTCGTATTATCGTCGATGGTGTGTCTTACCTGGAATAGTGGTGTTGGAAGTAGTGGTGCCGGGAGAATAAGGAATTAATAAGGTCATTTGTTATCCCATTTAAGAATATTTGTTGTCATAATCGCATCAGCGACAAAACCCTTTTTCTAAGAATTAAAAAAATTAAAGTGTCTGTCTCAAATATTCAAATAGCTGGCTTCTATTAAGCCGAGGGATTTATTTGCATGCTATTAAGATATAAATAACTATTCTCAAAATTTTGTGGTGATTGTGTTGAAACTTTACGAACAGGTATGAAGCAATGCCAGAAAGGATCTAAGCTATATTTTATACGGAAAATTGTTAAAGGATTTGATTATCTTCAATCTGAACAAGGCCACATTAATAGAACATATCCAGGCGTAATCCAGGCCGAACCGGTAGTCTTCAATATAGTGAACTTGGAATTTTTATTCTATTAATTGTTTTCTTTTACGTGGTAGAGCCACGCTGCAGTTATGGTTGTAGTATAAGTAGAAGGAGGAAAAGATCACACTTACAGAATACCAGCTTGAAATAGCAGTTTAATGCTGCTGTGTTTCGTATGGTGAGTGTAGAGAACTGGAGACCCGTTTTTACTGGAAACGAGGTATTCTATTTTGGTCCCAAGCGGTGACACGTATTCTGCACTTTGATTCTTAATCGAGGATAGATGTAGATGTCTATTCGCCACAGCAACTGCAGTTTGTAAGTTTTACGCTTATTATATCTATCTTCGGTTCAATTTCGTCCATTATTCTTAATAATATAATGAACAATAAATTATTTTACCATGAAAATATAGTGGGTTATTTGTTATTATAAATCTCAAATAATTGAAATTTAAAACATAATCATAGATTTTATTAGGTATAAATACTTATTATTAATTATAAAGTTTATGCAAGGCAAAAACGTATTCCAGGTTAACCTATTACCAGTAGGTCAAGGTACCTCAGCCTCTTTTTAATTTTATGCTATAATTTATCTGCATATTTATACAAAAATGAATAAAGATGTCACACTTTTAAATTTCTAGAAACATCATCGGTTATTCTTAGGACCCTATCAATGTTCCAATTGAACTACCTTATCACAGAATAAATAACACAAAAGAATTATATAACACAGATCCCAAATCATTTGACTCTTTTAACACATTGTTTGTACAATAAACAAATTATTTAGACAAAAACTGTGAGCCTTGTGACTGAATCGTAATTGAATCACATTTTTTTACTATTGTCACCATAATTATCACCAAATTCCGCACTAAAATTTGGCATTGTAAAATTCAGGACATTGTTAGGGAGGATTCCCTGACTACGTTAGGGTAGTCAGACTTTTGACTTAAAGATTGAAGAAACGCTATTTTTAGCTTGTTTTTCTTGTCTTGACTATCTTAATATCTGTTGGGTAGTTTATCTCTGAAAGAGAATTATACGAATGTGTGATACGATATTATAGATCTGTGAACGATTGCCTGATATTACGTATAATACGACTCTGCCATTGTTCAAATGCTATAAATCATATATCAAACAAAATTGTCTTTTTTGTTACATAATATAAGAGCATGAAAAAAACACAATACTCGATGTGTGCCTTATTCGATGTCTTAAAAGTCGGCTATACTTATTATTAACATAAAATTTTTGCTCTTTTGAAGGGAAGGAACATCTCAGTGTCGATTAAATAGATACATTAAAACTTCAACCACTAATTTGCCATTTTTAGGGGTAGAATTTTGTCTTCAAATTTGTACGGGATATTGTATATTAATATACTATTTAATAAAAAGAATATTATCAAAATCAATTCACAATTAACGCAGATATTTCGTAACATAACTTTTTTTATTAATTTAAACAAAGTTAGCCTACTTGTATTAAAAAAAATAACAATTTATTAAAAATCTATGCTCAAACATTAAACCACAAATGGTTTCGCGGTTTGATGCTATGTATAGGAAATGGTCGATCCATCATCAGCGATAATAGTACTGGTGTACGAGATAACTTGAACATGATTTATATGAAAGTATAAAACTACTTACGTATTTTGTCGAACTGATCCTTCTTACTCTCTTTGTCGGCTTCTTCTGCGCTCGTCTGTACTTATTCTCCTCGATCACGGCCGCAGCATCTTTATCCTCTAGAATAAACCAATCGGTAACCGATCCCCTTCTTCCACTCCACCCACGACTTTCACCTTTTACACTCAACATTTTTGATAACTCCGCTTTAAAGTCATCACTTACTTTATCCACTTTAGGCACATGCACTAACTTGGGAGATGGAAGATTGGTTAACGATGAACTCTTTCTCTTGTCCTGGACACACAAATCTTTCTCCGACTTCGTGTAAGGTTCACAATCACTCGAATAATTCTCACTGAACATGTCTACCGTCTTATCGAATTCCTCCAGCAAATCCTGCATTGACTTCTCTTTCATAATGTTCACGGTAATTCCGCTCGAGGCTGAAGTGGCATTGGATATACTGGAGTTGTTGTTAGAAGACTCAGATGGAAACTCTCTGATACTTTTTAGAAACACGCTGTCATCATTGTCATAGTACACATTTGATAAATATTCGAGGCTTTCAGTGGAAGACCAGGGGTCAGCCATCGTGTCACTACTCCCGTAAGCGTAGGACTGGTTTTTTGTTATTGTATTCTTTCCCACTTTAACATCTGCTTGCTCTTCTATAGCTCGCGGCAGAAACTCGAAACTCTTACTTCTTGTATAAATTGGCTTCTGAAGCTTACTCTTCTTCTCCATCAGTTCTTTGTTTCTGAAGAACCAGAATCGTTTGCTTGATTTTAACTCCTGGTCATCGTCTTTCGATGGATGATTGATTTCTTTCAGCGTTTGCAACGGTACATCTTCTTCGATGCTTTTCCATTTAGGCTTTTCTTTATCCTTACCAAAGAAGCTCATTCGAGAGAATTTGTCGCGAAAACTGAACGTTTTTCTGAGTGGCGACACCCCTTCATCATCTGACGGAGTGTGTCTTTCCGATTTCGGTGAGTCTGGCACAACAGGTAAACAGGCAGATAAGAGGCCAGATGGTTTCGCAACCACTACATCAGTCGAATGTCCCCGAACTGGGACAAGAGGCTGCGGCTTAAGTTTGTCGGGTAAGTCGCCAAGTAGACCGCGCTCGATCAGCTGCAAGCTCTCCGCGTTGAGTTTTCTTAGGACTTCGGGTCTTTTAACAATGAACTTCCTATCACCGTCCATGGCGGGTTACGTCGACGTCGGCCCGCGGTGAGTTTTCGACTGCGCACTATCGCGGGCCACGGTATCAGTCTGATAAGAGATGATAACGATTTCTTGCGCCATCGCTATGTTTTCGAACGCTACATTTACCAACATTCGATTTTCAAATTTACTTTTTTTTAAAGTAAAGCGACAAACGAAGTTACAGCCCATGGACACCTGCAGCCAACTTCAAACAAAAAACTCTATAGGTGCCTTGTCACCCCTGAGGACTAAGATGGAAAGCCTCCCAGCCTGTAATTATACTGGGCGCTCTAGATCCTAGACCGAAACACATGTATGCAAGCGTAGCTCTTTGGAGGAAATAGATAAGAGGGAAAGAGAAATAGGGAGTCCATCTGGGTTTTCATTGTCATTGATTCGCAAACTCTAGAGTAACAATACCCCCAGTATTGGTTACTCCTCGTTTGTGTTGGAAAATCACAAACGAAGCAGAAATAGGTAAAAGGAAAAGAGAAATAGGGAGAGAAATATGGAGGGGAAGTGGGTGGTACCCAGATTGACTCTCTATACCTATATAAATAAAAATTAAGTGTCTGTCTGTAATATCAGAAGGTCTGCCATTTATTGCGTTGACGGGGTTATTTGTATTTCATTGAGGCATGTACAACTATTTTTTTAAATATCTGTACGTCGTCAAAGGCATAACCAATCATTATAAAACTTGACGAACAGATAGTGAACAATGCCAGGAGTGATTTAATCTGAAAAATTGTAGTTTTTTTTTTTAAAGAAATGGAAAAATAGTTTTTGTTGCTTACGTAACACTAAACATTTAAATATAACTACTTTTTACGGATTTTATCGGAAGCAGGAGTGTACAAGCTTAATTATGACTGTGGTCCCTCTAACATAGGAAAAACAAAAAAAATCCGTAAAAACCCGCGTTAAAGAACACATAGCTGGTGTGAACAATCGACGTTCTGGGAATTCTGCAGTTTGTGAACACGTACAGGATTGCCTCCGTCAATACATCAGATTTGATAGACCACAAATCCTCAATAAGTAACACCGATTCCTTCCAAGGATGATTCGCGGGGCTATTGAAATCAAAAACATCCTAATATAAATAGAGAAGATGTCTGGGTGCTACTATCTGCTTGGGATCCTATAAATAATAAAATAAAATCCCAACCCAAGCACACAACTGCAAGACTTCAAGATACTATAAGTTCATACTGCGTAGATCGAAACACAATATTAATATCAATCTGGAGGTAGCCGTGGTTATCTATGACAATGAGACATCGAACACCTCAGTGCCCCCCTGATCATGGGTGTTGTACAGTGCTCGAAACCTCGGGAATTTAAAATAAGTTAATATACGCGGTAAAATCCGTAAAAAAGTATTTACGTGGTAGAGCAATACTGCAGCTATACGGTAGAGCCATACTGCAGCTATACGGTAGAGCCATACTGCAGCTATACGGTAGAGCCATACTGCAGCTATACGGTAGAGCCATACTGCAGCTATACGGTAGAGCCATACTGCAGCTATACGGTACAGCCATACTGGAGCTATACGGTAGAGCCATACTGTAGCTATACGGTAGAGCCATACTGTAGCTATACGGTAGAGCCATACTGCAGCTATACGGTAGAGCCATACTGCAGTTATACGGTAGAGCCATACTGCAGCTATACGGTAGAGCCATACTGCAGCTATACGGTAGAGCCATACTGCAGTTATACGGTAGAGCCATACTGCAGCTATACGGTAGAGCCATACTGCAGCTATACGGTGGAGCCATACTGCAGCTATACGGTAGAGCCATACTGTAGCTATACGGTAGAGCCATACTGTAGCTATACGGTAGAGCCATACTGCAGCTATACGGTAGAGCCATACTGCAGTTATACGGTAGAGCCATACTGCAGCTATACGGTAGAGCCATACTGTAGCTATACGGTAGAGCCATACTGTAGCTATACGGTAGAGCCATACTGCAGCTATACGGTAGAGCCATACTGCAGCTATACGGTGGAGCCATACTGCAGCTATACGGTGGAGCCATACTGCAGCTATACGGTAGAGCCATACTGCAGCTATACGGTGGAGCCATACTGCAGCTATACGGTGGAGCCATACTGTAGCTATACGCTAGAGCCATACTGCAGCTATACGGTGGAGCCATACTGCAGCTATACGCTAGAGCCATACTGCAGCTATACGGTGGAGCCATACTGCAGCTATACGCTAGAGCCATACTGCAGCTATACGGTGGAGCCATACTGCAGCTATACGCTAGAGCCATACTGCAGCTATACGGTAGAGCCATACTGCAGCTATACGGTAGAGCCATACTGCAGCTATACGCTACAGCCATACTGCAGCTATACGGTGGAGCCATACTGCAGCTATACGCTAGAGCCATACTGCAGCTATACGGTGGAGCCATACTGCAGCTATACGCTAGAGCCATACTGCAGCTATACGGTGGAGCCATACTGTAGCTATACGCTAGAGCCATACTGCAGCTATACGGTGGAGCCATACTGCAGCTATACGGTAGAGCCATACTGCAGCTATACGGTAGAGCCATACTGCAGCTATACGCTAGAGCCATACTGCAGCTATACGCTAGAGCCATACTGCAGCTATACGGTAGAGCCATACTGCAGCTATACGGTAGAGCCATACTGCAGCTATACGGTGGAGCCATACTGCAGCTATACGGTAGAGCCATACTGCAGCTATACGCTAGAGCCATACTGCAGCTATACGGTGGAGCCATACTGCAGCTATACGCTAGAGCCATACTGCAGCTATACGGTAGAGCCATACTGCAGCTATACGCTAGAGCCATACTGCAGCTATACGGTAGAGCCATACTGCAGCTATACGCTAGAGCCATACTGCAGCTATACGGTAGAGCCATACTGCAGCTATACGGTAGAGCCATACTGCAGCTATACGCTAGAGCCATACTGCAGCTATACGGTAGAGCCATACTGCAGCTATACGGTAGAGCCATACTGCAACTATACGGTAGAGCCATACTGCAGCTATACGGTAGAGCCATACTGCAGCTATACGCTAGAGCCATACTGCAGCTATACGGTAGAGCCATACTGCAGCTATACGCTAGAGCCATACTGCAGCTATACGGTAGAGCCATACTGCAGCTATACGCTAGAGCCATACTGCAGCTATACGCTAGAGCCATACTGCAGCTATACGGTAGAGCCATACTGCAGCTATACGGTAGAGCCATACTGCAGCTATACGGTAGAGCCATACTGCAGCTATACGGTAGAGCCATACTGCAACTATACGGTAGAGCCATACTGCAGCTATACGGTAGAGCCATACTGCAGCTATACGCTAGAGCCATACTGCAGCTATACGGTAGAGCCATACTGCAGCTATACGGTAGAGCCATACTGCAACTATACGGTAGAGCCATACTGTAGCTATACGGTAGAGCCATACTGCAGCTATACGGTAGAGCCATACTGCAGCTATACGGTAGAGCCATACTGCAGCTATACGCTAGAGCCATACTGCAGCTATACGCTGGAGCCATACTGCAGTTATACGCTAGAGCCATACTGCAGCTATACGCTAGAGCCATACTGCAGCTATACGGTAGAGCCATACTGCAGCTATACGCTAGAGCCATACTGCAGCTATACGCTAGAGCCATACTGCAGCTATACGCTAGAGCCATACTGCAGCTATACGCTAGAGCCATACTGTAGCTATACGGTAGAGCCATACTGCAGCTATACGCTAGAGCCATACTGCAGCTATACGCTAGAGCCATACTGCAGCTATACGGTAGAGCCATACTGCAGCTATACGCTAGAGCCATACTGCAGCTATACGGTAGAGCCATACTGCAGCTATACGCTAGAGCCATACTGCAGCTATACGCTAGAGCCATACTGCAGCTATACGGTAGAGCCATACTGCAGCTATACGGTAGAGCCATACTGCAGCTATACGGTAGAGCCATACTGCAGCTATACGCTAGAGCCATACTGCAGCTATACGGTAGAGACATACTGCAGCTATACGGTAGAGCCATACTGCAGCTATACGGTAGAGCCATACTGCAGCTATACGGTAGAGCCATACTGCAGCTATACGCTAGAGCCATACTGCAGCTATACGGTGGAGCCATACTGCAGCTATACGGTAGAGCCATACTGCAGCTATACGGTAGAGCCATACTGCAGCTATACGGTAGAGCCATACTGCAGCTATACGGTAGAGCCATACTGCAGCTATACGGTAGAGCCATACTGCAGCTATACGGTAGAGCCATACTGCAACTATACGGTAGAGCCATACTGTAGCTATACGGTAGAGCCATACTGCAGCTATACGCTAGAGCCATACTGCAGCTATACGGTAGAGCCATACTGCAGCTATACGGTAGAGCCATACTGCAGCTATACGGTAGAGCCATACTGCAGCTATACGGTAGAGCCATACTGCAGCTATACGGTAGAGCCATACTGCAGCTATACGGTAGAGCCATACTGCAGCTATACGCTAGAGCCATACTGCAGCTATACGGTAGAGCCATACTGCAGCTATACGCTAGAGCCATACTGCAACTATACGGTAGAGCCATACTGCAGCTATACGGTAGAGTCATACTGCAGCTATACGCTAGAGCCATACTGCAGCTATACGGTAGAGCCATACTGCAGCTATACGCTAGAGCCATACTGCAACTATACGGTAGAGCCATACTGTAGCTATACGGTAGAGTCATACTGCAGCTATACGGTAGAGCCATACTGCAGCTATACGGTAGAGCCATACTGCAGCTATACGCTAGAGCCATACTGCAGCTATACGGTACCATCTGCAGCTATACGGTAGAGCCATACTGCAGCTATACGCTAGAGCCATACTGCAGCTAACGGTAGAGCCATACTGCAGCTATACGCTAGAGCCATACTGCAGCTATACGGTAGAGCCATACTGCAGCTATACGGTAGAGCCA